TCTCTATGCTGGAGCTGTGAAAAATTTGCAAGATGTGCCAGTGTTAAAAGCACTATTTCAAAGAGTGGGAGTCTCAAAGCCCGGCTTTATTTCGGCGAGGCTGCTGATGAATGTGGAGAGCTCGAAGTTGCCTATGGCAGGCCGGGAGATTAACGAGACAAAATTTTTGTGTCTCGGAACAGGAAAATGAGATTTATGATGTGGCGCCGCAGGGCTGAGAGCAGCTCCATCACCAGATTTACGATAAACTTTAACAAGGAGGAAACAGCCCCTCCTGTGGTGAGCATGCTTTATTGATACACCTGCTGAAAAGACCCCCTTTATTGATATACCTCAGCCTATGCCAGACCCGCCAGTCCGCATGGCTGCGGTAACTGATTGCCCACACTGAGCTGAGATCAGCCCACGAGTTTAAGCTCTTTCGTATACGCTTGGTCACGCCGAGGTGGAGAGCTGACAGCGCTCTGATGAGTGGGCCTGTGTCACCACGTCGGACAAGCAGTAGATTGTGAGAGACTGCAAATGCATGAAATCAATATTTAGTTCTCATGTGAGGATGCATTCGGATCCGGGGCAGGAGACCGGTCATGCGAGATGAAATATTGGAGATGAACGTCTTGAATAGTTAATGAGAGCCCATGCAAATTCCCAAACCTCTGTGAGAGGGAGATTAACATTTCTCATCTTTCCTAACCACCATTTCACACCTTCCTTCTTCCGTTTACCTCAGGAGTTAAAGGACAAGGTTACTCAGCTGCTTCCCCTGCTGCCAGTGCTGGAACAGTACAAGGCAGATGCAAGAATGATCCTTCGCCTGAGGGAGGAGGTGAGGAATCTGTCTCTGGTACTAATGGCAATTCAAGAGGAGATGGGAGCCTATGACTACGAGGAGCTCAGGCAGCGAGTGCTACTGCTGGAGACTCGCCTGCACTCCTGCATGCAGAAACTCGGTAAGACATCTAGCAGCAGTGGGTTTAAGTTGATTTTAATAATCAAGAAAAGGCAGCAACCAATCTATTGACCGTGGACACACAGTATGTGACCTATTACAGCAAGAAAATAGAAATAATTTTTACTTGTTGGATTCTCAGTGCAGGACTCGTTTTACATGATTATTTGTGAAGTTATTTTAGAGCAGCTGCAATAATTTACTTTGGAAATACTTTGGTAATTTAAATGGAAAAGAAAAAGTAAAGTAGACATGTCTGATGGTCGGGAGACCACATTAGATCCAATTAAGTAAAAATGTGCTTGCTGTCCAATTAGATAAGCAATTTAATGTTAGAACGTTAAAAACAGCCAGCTAGCAGGCCTCAAACTGAAACGCCCAAAGTATATTTGGCTGAAAGATTAATTGGCTTTCAGATACATGATGAGACAAGCTCATGTTCTATTTAGGGTGAAACTGATGACTTCACAAGAAACTCCAAAATGATGATATAACGGATATTCGTTCTGCTCCATAAATGTCACTTTTGGCAGTTTAATGCTGACTGGTTCACTGGAGTTCCGCTGAAGCCGTCGTTCATAGTGCCCCCTGTGTTTTATCACCAGGTTGTGGGAAGCTAACTGGCGTCAGTAACCCCATCACCGTCCGCGCTTCAGGGTCAAGGTTCGGCTCCTGGATGACTGACACAATGATCCCCAGCTCCGATAATAGGGTAAGAATGACCGTGCTGCAACACTCTATCACTCTATCACTGCCACTGCTATGATGAGCCGCCTCTCCCCGGACACGGACACACACACACATTGTGACTGAGTCAGTGTTTTGGTACAGTGTAGCTGCTCCTCAGCGGTAAGAGCTGAGTCACTGATGGATGGTTCTTCCACCATTTTTCTCCCTCCCACCCTCTTTTTCCTTCTCTATCATGCTCATACTCTCTCTCCCACACTTCATTCTTCTCTCAATCCTTACGTCTCCTGTCAAAGCCACAGTCCTCATATTAATTACTCCATCAGGGGGTTGGGTATTATCAACTTGTTTAGGCAAATGTTTCACCAATCAATGCCAGGTATTACTAGCAGCCAGAGCCATCGTCAGGGGGAGACACATGGGAATGCATCCTGGGCCCAGTGATGAAAGGCAGTGTTACCCAATCCTGTTCCTTAAGGCACACCAAAACTACACATTTTCAAACTTATCCTAATCAAGCACACCTGATTCAACTGATCGACTCATTAGAAGAGGCTCCAAGTCCAGAAATGGATGTGTCAGATTAGGGTTGGGTGACCGGTAGACAATTAACCGGTAGAAATTTGTTAACAGGTAGAGATTTTGGACTATGGTCTCTATCGCGGTTGCTCACATGATGTTGCTGTGCTGTGTGGTCATGAAAACTTATTAAGCTATATGTGAACACTGTTTCTGAGCACTGTCAAAGAGGCGCACGCACGTGAAGAGTGTGTTCATAGAGCGCGGGAGAATTGAACTGAGTTATTTTGCCACTTTATAGGCCTTGAACTGTTAAATACACACTTTGAAGTGTCAAAATGCCTGTCTTTGCAAGTATCCTCATAAGCACAGTAGGTCTCAAGGGAAAGCAAACAGCTGAGAAAAAAAACACATGTGTAACAGTATTTTGGATCCGGGTAGCTCTTAAAGTGACAGCAGTCTAATATTCTTGCTGTCTGTCATTCATGTTAATAAAACAACAAATGAGAGAATATCTCTCACTGCTCTTGACTAAATCACTTTTGTAACTATATTGTGATATATATTGTTACTGTGAAATAAAATTACTCATATCATGATATAAGCAATAATGAGATATCCGAAATGTGTCCTGTCAGTGTGCCTCCAGGAATAGGGTTGGAAAACACTTTATGTTGTAATCTACTCATTGGGTCCATTTGTGAGAGGGCCTACCGAATATTTTCCATGGGCTACATTAGTTTTAGCAACAGCCCTGTCAATCTCAGTGGAGAACAGGGTTGAAGAATTGAATAAATTGGCTCTTTTTAAATTAATGATTGTGAAGCTGAAAAGGAACTGGAATGGCAGGTAGAGGAATTTAATTCAAAGACATTCAACACAGGTAATCTATCTACTGTTCCCTCTGTCCAGTCTTAAAATTTCCACTATAAAAGGACTGACATGGAAAGGACAACAAGCAGTGATCATCAATTATTCTGTTTAAAGGGGCAAGTCGAAAGCTCATCTTAAATTATACAGTCCTTTATCTTTGGCTTTAATGATCACATCACTCGCCAATATCAATCACCGATAAATCACCTCAATCAAGATAATGGTCATATCAATCCGGCAGGCATCTGAGCATTCACTGTCCCTAGATTTACAATGTCACACACACAGCATTGCAGGTTAATGTAATAAAGATCCGGACTCCAGCATCCAAAGCACAACATATGCCATTCTTCTCAGAAGGGAACACAGAGGCGGAGATGGGCAGGCCGCAGTGTGACCACAGCTCCACTCGCCGATCTACAGGGACTCGTTTAGCCCACAGAGGAAATGCTATACTTAATATTCCAATTATCCTGCCTGTCCATAAGTCACCTGCTCTCCTCCTCTCCAGTCACCACGCAGCCCCACAGTAGCCTAAAAATAAAAATGCACCGCATCTCTCTGTGGAATGAGAAATGTGGGAAGAGGCAGGGAGGGAGACTGCAGGAGGGAGGGAGGGAGGAAGGAGGAGAGGAGGCAAAAGAAGGCAAAAGCAGGGGAGCGTTAAATCCTCAGAGGGCCTTCATTATGCAGGAGAAAGAACATAATAACCATCCTAAATAAGCTGACTGTCTGAAGTTTTATTACGATGTGTTAATAAAGAGTGCACAGCGCATGGCTTGGTAAAGATGGGGGCACAGCATGGCTGTTGTGTGCCTGATAGATACTATAGCCTCATAAAGTGACGGCGAGTACGGAGAAGAGAAGCAGAGAGAGATGGAGAACTGCTAACAGGATTGATTTCCTGTGAATGTGGAGTGGAAAAGGGCAGGGAACAACTGCTGCAGCCGAGTGCAAAGCACATACAGCATCTCCACTCCCACACAAGGAACAGATCAATAGATTTGACAACACATACACACCTAGACTGTGCACAGTGAGAGTCACAGCTGGTTACACAGGAAGAAAGGCTCTGCTGTCACTCTCTCAAAAGTAAGTCAGGAGATGGCGTCTCTTTTGATGTACTGTACTTTCATCCAGGTATATGCTCTTTCTACTCTATTCTTGGCACAGAAATCTCAGCTTTCATTTCTAACCTGATTCCTCATTCTACTTACAAAGGGGTCAAAAAGTCCACTAGTGAAAATGCTTCTATTTTGCATTCTTGTCCAATAATTATTTTTTTTTTTTTGTAATTCAGATGTCTTAATATCCTGTATGTGCCCATTTAGCTTAAATGTCACCAGCACTCAAGCTGCATGAATGACAAGTTTATGTAAAACTCGATGATCCTCCAGCATGATTTGAAAATAATCAAAAAAAACATCTTTAATGGAAATGGAAACATGAGTGATGAGTGTTTTTGTACAAAGGAGTCATGAAACATTGATTAGTGACTAAGAATTTTTTTTCACATTTGGCTAGACACTTTCATCCAAATTCAGAGTTTGTGTAAACATTTGCTCATTTTTATTTATCTTTTATTTCTATTATATTTTCTATTTAGTTAACATGATTTTTTTTATTAGATTTATTTTAACTCGTTTTATTTTTAGTTTTCAGAGATTACTAATTTCTGTTTTTCATTTTAGCTTCAGTATTTTAGGGCTGCCAAAGTTAAGCAGTATAATTTAAAAAAAAATGTATTGCATTTCTCAAATTAGGTTAGTTAGTTAGTTAGTTAGTTAGTTATTAGTTAGTTTCAGTTAATTAATTTAAGTTTCTCTGAGTCTAGTTTTTATTTTTATTCTGTTAACAAAAATGTCTTATATTTTAATGATAATAACACTGCATATAATAATACTGTGGTATATACATATTAGGGATGTGCATCTCCGTAGCTGAGGCCGATGCGATACACGATCTCGATTAGGGCTGAACGATTAATTGCGATTATTTGCGATAATATCGCAATATGAATAAACGCGATTTTTCAACCGCAGAGGCTGCGATTACACTTGGTCACATGACACGCGAGAGTAAAGAGGTGTGTTGTGTTGGACTTGAAGATCGATCGGTTTATGACATCAAAGTACGGCGAGAGAAAGCATAAGGAAACGTCCGCTCTCTTATAGCTCTTGCAATATATGTTTGAAAGTGTATATAATGAACGTACTTCAAAACAGCACATTGGAATTACTCAAGCAGTACAGTGTTATGGTGCATTTCATTACTGAAGACTTCGACCTTAAAATAATATATATAATAAGGTAATATATATATTCTTATTTATTTAAAGTCTGTCTACTCTAAAGTTAACGGACAGTGTTTAAAAAGTGCAGTCCACATGTTTACATATGTTTATTACACATTGACTTTGAATTACCTAAAGTAGTGTGGTAAAGCAACAGATTGTTTTTATATTTCTGCAATCTACTTTATTTTGTGTGACTTTTTACTGACTTTCATTTTAATGTTTACAACAGTTAAATAAAAATGTCATACATATCAATTCATGCATCACCTAATTTCATCGTAACATATAGGCCTGGCCTACAGAAAATAACATTTATGTTTAATCTATCTAATATTGTGTTGGTCATACTATACAATGATGTATAGCTTGTCTTTGTTGAATAATACAGAACATAAAGAGCTTTAAAAAATAATTGCTTATTAAATCGCAATCGCAATATTGGTAAAAAAAAAAAAATAGCAATTAGATTATTTTCCAAAATCGTTCAGCCCTAATCTTGATACATAGCCAACGATACGATACATTAAAGATAAATATGAAGCAGTTTCCAATGCGATACGTTTCACCCTTATTACGATACAGTGCAATCCGATGTTAATTCAATTCAACACAATGTGATTCAATGCAACACGATGCAATGGAAAAAATAATGAGGCACACCTCCATAGTGCTGTAATATGTCATATTCGTGTAGCAGCAGTGGTGATGAGAGAATGTGCTTGAGAAACAGTTTAGAGAGGAGAAATGTATCTACATATAAAATATTGGTCACAAATTATTGGTCACTTTCTAAATAATAAAAGTTAGAAATGATGCATCACGATACAAATGCCAACTTATATCTAAAGCACACTTTTTAAAATTGATGCATTGCATCGTTACATTTTAGGCCAACGCACCGATGTGAATCTGTGAATTTTACCATCCTTAATGTTTGTTTTTTTCTTTGTTTGTATCATGCATTTTACATTTGAATATCTTATTCTGTCTCAGGTGTGGTCAATGGACGGTTACTTTAAGGGACGTCGTGTGCTGGAGTACCGCACAATGAACGACTTCATGAAAGGCCAGAACTTTGTGCAGCATCTCCTGCCCCACCCTTGGGCTGGTACGGGTCATGTGGTGTACAACGGCTCCCTCTACTACAACAAATACCAGAGTAACATAATCATCAAGTACCACTTCCGATCCCGAAGCATCCTGGTGCAGCGCAGCCTTAGCGGTGCAGGCTACAACAACACCTTTCCCTACTCCTGGGGTGGATCATCTGACATCGACCTCATGGCTGACGAGAATGGGCTATGGGCTGTCTACACCACTATTCCCAATGCTGGAAACATCGTCATTAGCCGTCTGGAGCCACAAAGCCTGGAAGTGCTTCAAACGTGGGACACAGGCTTCCCTAAACGGAGCGCCGGCGAATCGTTCATGATCTGCGGCACGCTCTACGTCACCAACTCCCACCTGGCCGGTGCTAAGATCTACTTCGCATATTACACCAACACCTCAACCTATGAGTACACAGACATCCCCTTCCATAACCAATACTCCCACATTTCCATGATGGACTACAACCCCCGAGAAAGAGTGCTCTACACTTGGAACAACGGACATCAAGTCCTCTACAACGTCACATTGTTCCAGGTCATCAAAACAGCTGAGGACTAGGTCATGCAGACCTTACAAACACATTGCTTATACACAGATGTACACACACTGATATGCCCACACACATATACACACACATTTATGTGGAGGAGGACATGACTAAAGCTTAGACTTTTTTACTGCATTCCAAACTTCATAGAGTGCTATTATTCATCTAATGTTCTGAGGAGAGCAAGATTGGTACTGGTACATAAACTGAGCCTTTATTTTCTTTCCTGTGATGATTCAGCATGAGTACTTTCTTTTTATTTGTGGAAAAAGAATAAATAAACATCAAACTTTACCATTTTCAAGTTTCACCTTTTTATTTCCCCCCTCCAATGCCGATGGTTAATAATGGCCGCATTCTGTAGTGAAAAGTTTGAGTGAATGCTTGTTCGCTGAGTATTCTTTCACAAAGCCTTTTTCAAAGCTCCAGCTTTAATATAACTAGAGACGTGCCGCAGCAGGATGAGCCAAGCTTCTCTTGACTGCCTCAGGAAGTGAATCCAGCTCCTGTTTGGTGTCAGCCATCCTGAGGAGAGACGTCAGTCAGGCGGAGCTTCGTGACATGAAGGGCTGAAAGGTGAGGTGGCGGAGGAGAAGAAATGAGAGACAGCGGAAGAATGAGGGAAAAAAAGCAAAGCATTCAGTCGGACAGATGAGGCCCCGGGCTACAGTGATGCCTGCTGCTGCTGTTGTTGTTGTTTGCGCCTGCCAAGTTACAACCTGTTTCCATGTTTCTTTCGAGGCACGCCTCCTCAGCAGGCTGTGTAAAAATATGAAATTAGAAACTGTGGGCTTGTCCAACTACCTTTTAGATGTGTTCTTTATTTAATTTGAGTTAAGACCAAAGTATACTTCCCTTGTCCAGCTCGTGTGATGTAATTTTGTGACGCAGACAATGCAAGTGCAAGTGTTTTGGTTACTTAAAAAGAAAGATCAACTGTACACACCGAACCCATCAATCAGCGTTCATGATAAACAGAGAATCCATACTGTTATTTTATTAAACCAAAACTTCATTTGTATTTAAACAAAATAAATAAATGTAGTCTATAAACTGCTAAATCAACTTAATTTATTTCTGATGTCAGAAACTATTAAAAGGCATTAACATATAACCATCCTCAATTCCACATTAATTTTTATGTTTGAAAACATAGCCTGCCAATCCACAATGTAGTGGGAAGTAGGACAGACACTATTATTCCTGAACACCAGTAAAATCGGAGAAAGTCCACAAAACTCTGTGCTATTCCTGGCTGTGTGTAGCACCTACTGCTCTGCATGTTTGTCTCAAAGATCAAAATGTTGGAAACGAGCAGCTAAAGTTCATTTTTAACATTAAGTCTGATCTTAACAGGTTATGTGGCACATTTCAAAGCAGACTGTTTTGTGAATCCGTCAGTTTACACAGAAGTCTTAAATCACAGTAGCAAAAAAAGCAATTACTTCAAAGAGACAGAACAAACAAAATGGTCAAACTAAATGGCAGAACAATAAACCTTGACTAATGGTATGATACAACCCCTTTAGCAGTAATAAAGGTAAAGGTACTACTTGTATAAGATAGGAAGTCAGACAAGTGAAGGAGAAAATCACGCAAATTCACCAAACTGGGAGAATTTTCAGATGCCACAGTCTCCTCGTCAGTTCTTCTCTGTGAGTTCAGCACACAGTTGTTGCAAAGAGCAGCTGTGCATGAATCTCAAGGTCTGTTTCACACTGCATGCAAAAGAAGCACGTAAATGATGCAGCAGCCCAATTACAACAGCAGGCACACATGATCCTTGCAGAAGAGAGCTTTAGCTGCGTAACATAACTAGAACTACACAGAAAATAAAGTGATTTTCGAGTTACCGCACTGATTTTTTTCCCCCCATTTAGTAAATTATGAAATGACTATGGGGAGTTGGCTTTAGGAATTACAAACTTGATCATTGTGAAAGTGAATTTGCATCCAAATGGTAATTAACTGACATGGCATGAAACCAAATCTGATACAGTATACATGTACTGTGTGGTCTATTGTGTTTCCCTTTTTTATAAATATTCCCACAGTGAAAGATAATAGGGAGAAAAAGTGATGAAAAGTAGGGAAATTCACTGTCTCCACAAAAATACACAGAGAAAATGTGAGTGAGAGAAACAATACACAAGAAAAAAAAGTGTAGTCCAGTGCAATAATTCATGGGGTATTGATTATTAAATCAAGTGTGCAGATCACAAGGGAACTGTGACTGTTATCTTTCTTAGACCAGAATAAAAAGAAACAGCCATAACCCCACAAAATAACGCCTTAACGTTTCAGTACGTCAAAGTGGCATACTGTATGTGATGCTTTATTTGCAGCGTAACCTCTTGCAAAGCCGAATGTGCAACAAAACCACATTTGCATTAACATCTTCATTAAATGTGGTTACAATCTTTCTCAGACCCTCTCCAAATTTCAATGTTATGGCTTTTAATGTTAAGTGCCATTCGATCATGATCTGATCACCAAAAATGCATGTTAAGAGGGCCAGTTCATCATGCCTAAAAGTTCTTTTTTCAAACAATGTGAGTAGTTCACTGTTATTTTACATTACTTAAAAAAACTCCTTCATAAAACCCTATATTGCTTACAATTGTGCTAATAAATAGGTTTATAGTGCATTTTCAACATATTTTCTTCTGAGATTACCGTGCTACACGGGGCACAAAATGACTCCCTGTCGAAACTCCACTTGAAGTGCTGCTTAAGCGTGCAGTGTGAGTGCTGCAACCTGTTAATAAGACCGATTTTCATGTGGTGTAAAACAGGCTTTATGCAATTTACAAGGTAAATAATGGGGACATTATCTGATGTGTGTCACACTGCGGCATCTAAGACTGGTGAAGAGTTCGAAATAATTGTTTCATTTGTATACGTACAGGGAATTAAAGCTTTGATGCAGTGAGGCCGCTAAAAATAGAAATCGTGCCGAGAATGCAGCAATGCTTTGAAGCCGAGCTAAAGAAATCTAAAGAAAGCTGTACCCTCTCCCTTTCTCCTCCTTTCTCTTTCAGGCACAAACATGCACCTAGGCCTCATGAATCTTGATTGTGGCGGGAACAACATTAGCACAGTCACATCTCTTATTTGAGTGCCTCAAATCAGTAGGCATCCCTGCTAAATAAAAGATGAGCCTCCATTGCATCTACACTGCGTCCTTCTCTTAACACTGCTCAAGCAGACTAGTGCATTGGGACTACAGTAAACTTTCAATGACATAAGCAAAGCTGTCTGTTAGCATCCTGCTGCATGTCTGTTTAATTGGAAAAAAGAAGAGATGTGATGGAGAGAGACGGACTCACGGATACACCACCCTTGTGATCATATGTGTCTACGTGTGTGTTTGTGCGAGTGAGACATCAGTGTGATTCACACAACATCTTCCGCTTCTCGGTGAGGCTGCAGCCGGCCCAGCATGCACTTATGTTTAATTAAGACTTACAGCCCAAACGGCGGGCATGACAGCTGTTTCATACTCAGCCAATTAAAAGAGCCGCAGGCCCTCCCTTCCACTGCAGTGTAAAAACACTGTTACTGTAAAATGGCACACTCTCCCGTACACCCTTTCTTCTTCACATCCTAGAACAAATGAGCATGCAGGGTCCACTCACTTTGCGGAAATTTGAGTAAAAATGCCAATTTCTGGTAGGTTGTATGGTAACTTTCACTAAAGGTTGGCATTGGCTTGTTGCTAAGCTAACATAAAAATACAGCACAAACAAATATTGAGCAAGAGAGATTTTAATTCAACTGAATTTCATTTGGTTGTGTTTAGAACTATTTATTACTTTTTGGTAGTGAATTAAGTATCTTAAGTATCGGAAAAAAAACAGCTTATGCTGGTTAGATATGTTTTGAAGCATGGCAGATAGCTTGAGCTGGTCCTTAGTTGGTCATGAGCTGGTTTAAACTGGTTATAAGCTGGTTATGAGCTAGTCCTGAACAGGAGCTATTTGCTTAGGACCAGCTTAACCATTCTGCTGCCATTCTTCAAAACATACTTAACCAGCATATGCTGTTTTTTTCAACGGGGTAAACAGTTAAAGGGGTCATATGATGCGATTTCATTTTTTCCTTTCTCTTTGGGTAAATGGTTAAATATTTACAGCAGATTTGTTATTTGGCAGAGGCTTCTATGGGACCTAAAGGTCTTGGATTGAAGCTATACATTTCAGTACTGTATGTACATTACCTCGGATTCAAACCCAAACTTGGAACATAGGAACAAAGTGAGCTACAGTATTCTTAATAAATGCAAAATACCGTTTTATGGCTGCTAATAGTGTGTTTATGGCCAGTAATGTTAGGAATATAAGGGGCCATTCACACGGAATGTGTTTTTGCACGGGCAATAGAACGGGGAAAAAAACTAGAGACACTGCCTTTGAGACGGTGTTGCCTCCCTTGCCTCCTTGGAGGAACCGCCCATGCTCCATAATTTCTATTAACGTTATAACCCATCACCTACTGTTACAACTCCACCTGGCATTGGTTTATGTTGTAGTGACAGCACTTTATCATCCAGCATTCACTAGATAAAGTGGCATAACTGTTTGCCCTTCAATCTTTCTGCCTCCGATTGAAATTAATTCTGGCGCTCTCAAAAGTTTGCACAGCTGTGTACAAGAGAACAGATGAGAGGAAAGCAGGTTGTAATACGTTTCCATTCTCTTCCTTATCTCCCACAAGACACCCCTTCATAATTGCCCTCGTAATTGCATTTTTTTACTCACATTGATTGGTACACCCAGCTCTAATTTCATTACATGCTGATTTGTGAAAGACAATAAAGCAGAAATATTTTGCAACGAAACCACAGGTCATTTTTCTTTATAACCCTTCTGCTCGGACACGTCACACTCCACTAAAGCAATAAAACCATTACGGCTGGTTTAATATTATAAGGTTATAGTGGAATCCGGTTTGACGTCATAGAGGGGATGCTGCAGGTGTGTGGGTCAGAGAGGTGGTTGTGGTGTCTGGGTCAACTCCGAATCCTTTCAATAAGAAGAGAACAAGATGAAGACAAGTTCATAGTGAGATCAGGTGGAATTAACGATGCACTGAGCCCCATAGCGGGAAAAAAAAATAAAACCTTGCCGGTACGGCTGCTGATCGTTATCGGGTAAGAATAGGGTAAGCTAGCCAAGCAGCTGTAATAGGAATCCATCTGCTCAGCCAAGCCGTGCAGTCGGTGTGATTAAACCAGTAGCAGGACCGGAGCTTCACAAATAGAACATTCATAATCCGCCCGTGTCCGTCTCAGACAGTATTACCTCTATTTCGC